GAGAGTATGTACAACACCGCAGAGGCAGTCTCTAACAACAGAGAAAACGAGAAGTACTCTGAAAAGATGATAGATCAACTTCTCATTAACAACGGCTACACCGATAGAGTCTTAGACACCATAAAGAACAAAAGAAAACGTAGAAAGAGAATCAATCAGAACAAAGACCAAGACGGAGCGACTCTCAAACTACCTTATGTCAACAAAACTACTGGTCGCAAATACAGAGATGCTGTCAGACATAGTGGACTCCCCATCAAAATTGTCGAGAAACCTGGACGGAAACTGAAGGATCTCCTTACAGACTCCAGACCCCTTGACAAGAAATCATGCACAACATCAAACTGCAGAACATGCGCAGCTTTAACCGATGGAGAATGCACCACAACCAACACCGTCTACCACATCACCTGCGAAGTAGACAATTGCACCGAGAACTATGGTGGGGAAACATACAGACGAAGAAAAACGTAAACTACCATCTCACACAAAATCCATCTTGAACAAAATAGGAATTTTGGTTCTTCCTAATCTCATTGCTAAAAGCTGTATAACTTTGATGCACAAGGTTTATATGGGAGTAGCACCATCGAGTATCTGTAGTATATTTGAAAAGTCACCGCTTAGACAAACGGAAAGGAGAAATCCAAAGTATTTTTAGATTAAGTTCAACAGATTACGTATCACCGATTATAGCATCTCTAACATAAGACCACGATTATAAAACAACACGATAAACGAAATAAATAAAATCCTTCCCTTCAACGTACCTAAGTTACAAGATAAGTTTATTAATTCATACAAGGACAACATTGTACGTTACGGGTATTTGCCTCACAGAATGGCCAAAAAAAGGAAGGTCTCTCAAAATCACAAAACACAATTTATTCCAGTTTTTATCTCATAGAAGGCTAAGTTGACACTCATATTTTTCTTCCCGGGGGTTCATTTAATCTCATAACCATTTTTTCTTTGAGAAAAATTGGCCGGAAAATCTTCCTCCAAAAAAACATGCCTCACAGAATGGCCAAATCTGAATTTCTATAATTTTTTGATGGAGATACTTTTTAAATTTCTATCACCACACGTTGTTAGAAAACCTATTAAGGAATGGGGTAATAACCTAAAACTCACGAAAAAACTGAGCTGTGAAAATTATTTCACAAAAAAGATAAAATGCCTGACAAAATGGCCAAAAAAAAAGAAAACGAGAAAATTTTATTTTTCTTAAACCTTTGGCTCTTGTTTCAGGCATGCTGCTGGTATTAATATGCCTTGTTAACACCCCCATAAAGGTGAAATTTCTTAGAACTGAATAAAAAGGGCATAATTTCCTACACCAAAAAATGGCCATTTTGTGTGACGTTGTTCATATTCCCTGATTTCATGATTTATAACCTTCATTCGGCTGTAAAAACACTCCATCTGGGGTGTTATTGTATGATAAATAGCTTGTGAATACTTTAGACTTATTGTTTCATTGAATAAAAGGAGTTTTAAATTTTGGCCATTTTGTGAGGCATATTTTGGCCATTTTGTGAGGCGTTTAGCCATTTTAGCATTTTGTTTCTTCCTATATTGAACAATGTTCGTTTTGTTTGATGAATACTATTCTTTAAACATCTTCTGTCATACTGGTGCCAGAAGTTCTCACCAAAATGCAAACTTAGTTCAAAAATTTGAAAACAAATTTTGTGAGGCATATTTTGGCCATTTTGTGAGGCGTGTAGCCATTTTAGCATTTTTTTCTTCCTATATTGAACAATGTTCGTTTTGTTTGATGAATACTATTCTTTGAACATCTTCTGTCATACTGGTGCCAGAAGTTCTCACCAAAATGTAAACTTAGTTCAAAAATTTGAAAACAAATTTTTCAGTGCTCAAAATTTCTACATAAACAGCCATATTTATGCCAGAAAATGTGGTCCTAGTTAATGATTTCACCACAGGAAGTGTTGCCAGAAGACTTTTGTTTCATATGGTATCCACAAAACCTACCAGTCTTATATACAAAATTAGTTACAAAAACATTTACAAATTTGGCCATTCTGTGAGGCTAGCCATTCTGTGAGGCATTTACCCGTACCTACTTACTAGACAAACAAAAACTTGACGTAAAAAACTTTTCGTGGACGGACAAGAACTTTGTCCTTTACAACTTTTAAACAAAATATTAGCAAAATATAACAGCTGTTAGAGAATCCTAAACGTTAGTGCAGTCAAATAAATGAACTGCGATAATGCATTTGCCAGTCAGTCACTGCAATTTATTCTGCAACCTATTTTTTAACTTTCACTGCCACACTTAGGCTTATCTTGCCTACACATTTTTTAACGAAATTCCTTGCGCACCGCGTATTAAAATTACTTGGATTTCTACCGCTTTGATAAAATGACTACAAGAAGATAAGGAGATAATATTGTTGATTTATATAATATAGATTATTTATTCTTTAGTGTAGATTAACTTTATTTTTATATATTTTACTAAGTGTGAAGGATCAACCATACGTTATTGATATTGTTGAAATATTTAATGATAAATTGATATAATAATAAATGATTTTAATATTTTCATTGAGGCACATGCCACCCCATCGCGGGTTTACTACTACTACTACTACTACTACTAACTACTACTACTACTACTAGACCACTCAAGTGCAGGTTCGAAGAGCATTACCTTAGTGCGGCAAATCCAACAGCAAAATCTTACTTACGAAGATAAGCCACTAGCAAAGGAAAGTCACCCTCAGAACACAGGCCCCCCAAAGCTAAGACTTCAAATCGTAGATAGAGGAACATCACTCATCAACAGAAAGATTAAAGAAGCCCGATTTTTAGTTGAAAAGAAACCAACACTCAGGAGGAATGAAAACGGTTAGAGGTTGTTAAACTTTCTTGTGTTCAATAACTTGTTTGCTGCAAATACTGCATTCCGCACTTGCCCTAGCTACGAGACTAAACTCTCATATCACGAGAGATGAGGACTCCTTCCAGGAACTAGTTCATTGTTCAAGCCTGTAGAGCCACGCCCATATTTCATATCAGGTGCGTATATACGGGAAATATGTGTCTCAGCTTCTGAAGGTCTTAGAGACTCAAACTTGAGTTTAAAATGACCGCAATGCACATATTTATATTAGTACCATGAAGGTCACGAAAGGCCAAAATACTCACTTTTGGAAAAAAATTCTGAAAAACTGATTTTCACTCACCCAGTCTCCTCCCGATCCTCCCACACTTCACAGCAAGATGCCAACACTGCCCGCCAACTTTCTCACCTTACTACAAAACTTATCTATTGAAGTAAAGCAACACATGCATACCCTCCTTACTCAGAGTATCCTGGACAGTCTGAAAGAGGAAAAGCTTGCTTCTAAAATAGAACGTATAGATGAAAAGAAGAAGGAAAAGAAAAACAAGAAGGAAACTACTGTTCAAAATGTCGTGCATAGCCAACATCCGCTCGTAGAGCATGTCCGGTCCTCCCTGGAATGGACGAAAGTCTATTCCAGGAAATCACAGAAGAATTAGATTCAATGAATCTTGAAGGCAAACTTAAAAAAGTCCACACCCTACGGCTAAGCCCTTCGTCAGAAAACTACTGTTTTGGAAACGTAGTTAACAAGCCACATCCCATCAACATTGTACACTGACTTCGACCTAAATTAATCTTTTAGTTGGCTAACAATTTGTTTTAGTTTCACTTTACTTATTCGTTTTGATAAGTTTTCTCTAAATAAGCGTTGTTGATATTATCTCGAATTTTCTGTACACCAATAAAACTGGCACTGCGACTAAAGTATTTGTCATTAGTTCCTTTAGTCGCAGTGTCATTGGTGTACAGAAAATTCGAGAGAATATGAAACCAACAACGTCGAAACGTTCCTCGAGAGTGTGCCTAAAGAGCTCTCTAGTCTGTAGGAAGTTAAATCTATGACATAAGAACTCCAAGTATTGTAGAAGTTGCCAACTAGGAACTAGTTTTAAATAATGTGTTATCATATTTAATGTTATATTTCTAAGAATATTCTGGTGCTAGGAACTGAATTTATAACCCTACTATCCGTGACTAGAGTATATAATGACTATATTATATAGAGTATAATATAGTATAATATATAGCTGTGCTAAGAAAAAATTCCTGATTTCTAAGAAAATAAGAATCACGGCAAATTGTGATAGCTACTAGGGGTCACTACAAGCATGTAACCTGGTTGTAACCTATAGTTGTCTGGTTTTAACCTAGTTCATGTGACTTCCTAGTTGGGTTATTTATTTGCGCTAGCTTGATGTGAGTGTAGTAGATGATGTAAACTATGCTAATTGATTACTAATTGATTGAAGATGTATAAAATGTTGAACTGGGTTATGAAAATGTGCCAACTATAACCTATAAAACTTGGACTCCGAAAGCTATTTCCAAGAAATCTTTCACAATTCGGTATTCATTTACCCAGATTCATTTTCTTCGCTGTGACGCGATTTTGCCGCATATCCTGTTCCTGACTTCTATAATACAAATACACGGGTTCTAGTAATATTAATCCTTATTAACCGCGCAATCCTTATCTGTCCAGGTTTCATCTTTGCCTTATCCTTTATTGTATATTATTTGTGCAGAGTTCACGGAAACAGCCGCAGCGTAAACCTGTAGCATTGTAACTGCCTTGTTTTTCAAACTGTTCATGTATTTTATTTAGCAAATGCCAATTTTAATCGTTCATTCGTTAAAATTATTATCGATAGTGTAGCTGAATTTGAAAAAAAAACAAGATTTGAATGGTGCTTACATTATTATCAAAATTAAATGCAATTTTTTCAAATCTTTTGAATTTTACCGAAATGTATTTCTCTTTCCGGTATCATGTTTCAAGTTAATCATTTGCGCAAAACAAAACATGGTGTTAGATCTTAGTAGTGTTAAGTACTTCAGTAGATTTAGTAATGTTACCTTTTAATGAATGATCACCACTGGAAATTTCTGAAATAGATAACAAGTTGGAATTGGACTGGAGACTACAATAAACTTGAGACTACAATAGACTGGAGACTACAATAAACTGGAGACTACAATAGAATTAGACTGCTCCCTATAGATGACACGTGGTCATGTCTCCTTTTAGACTAGTGTTGTTGAGTCTCGGGTTTACTTTAGTCCACATCGCCACCTCCCCTGAGCGTGATGTACAGTATAATGTGGTGAGTATATTTATTAAGGAGTAATCTTTATCGTGTCTCTAATATTTATCGTGTCTCTAATCTTTATCGTGTCTCTAATTGGTATCGTGTCTCTAATCTTTATCGTGTCTTTAATCTTTATCATGTCTATAATCTTTATCGTGTCTCTAATCTTTATTGTGTCTCTAATCTTTATCGTGTCTCTAATCTTTATCATTTCTGTAATCTTTATCATATCTCTAATCTTTATCGTGTCTCTAATCTTTATCATGTCTATAATCTTTATCATGTCTCTAATTGGTATCGTGTCTCTAATCGTCTAATACAATCACCTCTATATTGATACATTTGTTGGTAACAACTGATCGGATCCCACAGAATCAGCTGTCCCTCTGATTGCATTTGGTTTATCTGATTGCTAATTGGTTTATTATTATTTTATATATAAATGAGCGTTCAATACCGTTACCATGGTTATTATTATTATAAATCGGGTAGGTAGACACTAGCTCACACGCTCATGTAATGTTTGCTGACACCTGCATGAAAAACATTATTAACCGTTATAATAATATACTGATATAATAAACAAGTCCCAGTTTACTGTTTATGCAGCAGAAAAACTGTTGCTTGTTGTGTTATTAGCATTGACGAGTACCATTTTCTGAAACGACGACTCCAGCCATTAGCTCCACCTCGTCACTACTTTATCCCAGATGATTATTTGCCCTGATCCCAGATGATAATTTGCCATGTTTTTGTCAAAAAGCTTCATTTTTAATTCTAAGATTCGGCATCTGTCTGTCTTGTGGCCTATAAAATGTAACAATAATTTAGTACAATGAGACAGCTGATAGGAATTGTTCCTGATATTCAGTGGAATGAATATCAGGTCCTATCATACCTCCATCACTAGTCACCATAGTTACACTACTAGTTACCATAGTTACACTACTAACTTAACAGTGAACATCTAAAAAGCAGCAGTATTGTTCCTGGAGGGGGATTTGTTTAAAACATATAAGAGGATGGATGATAATGAAGATGATGATGAAGATGACGATGGGATAATGTTTTAAGTTTACATTACATTCAGCAGTATTGTAGTATTACTTTGTTTTAATGAGAATTATTTTTGTTTCAGCTTCACCAAGAGATGAGCCTGAAGGAAGCTTCTTTCATCATCGTATACATCACCCAAGCATGTAAGTAAACTGTATTCGAATATATTTTATGCCAATACTAAAATCAGTGGGAAGGATTTTAGAAAAATATAAAAATTACTATCTTAAACTATCCGAACAATTGCTAACTGTTTGGATGACATGTTAACAATTCGTTTCATCAGTTTAATTGGCAATTGATTCTCATTCAATTAGTTAAATCAAGTCAATTATTATTCGATTAGTTTAACTAAACACCTCCCCACAGTAGCAGCACCAGTAGTTACGCTAACTATGCGCTACTATTGCTGCACCCAGAACTCTGCTCTAACTAAACTCCTCCCCACAGTGGCAGCACCAGTAGTTACACTAACTATGCGCTACTATTGCTGCACCCAGAACTCTGCTCTAACTAAACTCCTCCCCACAGTGGCAGCACCAGTAGTTACGCTAACTATGCGCTACTATTGCTGCACCCAGAACTCTGCTCTAAATAAACTCCTCCCCACAGTGGCAGCACCAGTAGTTACCCTAACTATGCGCTACTATTGCTGCACCCAGAACTCTGCTCTAACTAAACTCCTCCCCACAGTGGTAGCACCAGTAGTTACCCTAACTATGCGCTACTATTGCTGCACCCAGAACTCTGCTCTAACTAAACTCCTCCCCACAGTGGCAGCACCAGTAGTTACGCTAACTATGCGCTACTATTGCTGCACCCAGAACTCTGCTCTAAATAAACTCCTCCCCACAGTGGCAGCACCAGTAGTTACCCTAACTATGCGCTACTATTGCTGCACCCAGAACTCTGCTCTAACTAAACCCCTCCCCCACAGTGGCAGCACCAGTAGTTACGCTAACTATGCGCTACTATTGCTGCACCCAGAACTCTGCTCTAACTAAACTCCTCCCCACAGTAGCAGCACCAGTAGTTACACTAACTATGCGCTACTATTGCTGCACCCAGAACTCTGCTCTAACTAAACCCCTCCCCCGCAGTGGCAGCACCAGTAGTTACGCTAACTATGCGCTACTATTGCTGCACCCAGAACTCTACTCTAACTAAACTCCTCCCCCACAGCTGTAGCAGCACCAGTAGTTACGCTAACTATGCGCTACTATTGCTGCACCCAGAACTCTGCTCTAACTAAACTCCTCCCCACAGTAGCAGCACCAGTAGTTACGCTAACTATGCGCTACTATTGCTGCACCCAGAACTCTACTCTAACTAAACTCCTCCCCACAGCTGTAGCAGCACCAGTAGTTACGCTAACTATGCGCTACTATTGCTGCACCCAGAACTCTGCTCTAACTAAACTCCTCCCCCACAGCTGTAGCAGCACCAGTAGTTACGCTAACTATGCGCTACTATTGCTGCACCCAGAACTCTGCTCTAACTAAACTCCTCCCCACAGTGGCAGCACCAGTAGTTACGCTAACTATGCGCTACTATTGCTGCACCCAGAACTCTGCTCTAACTAAACTCCTCCCCCACAGCTGTAGCAGCACCAGTAGTTACGCTAACTATGCGCTACTATTGCTGCACCCAGAACTCTGCTCTAACTAAACTCCTCCCCACAGTAGCAGCACCAGTAGTTACGCTAACTATGCGCTACTATTGCTGCACCCAGAACTCTACTCTAACTAAACTCCTCCCCACAGCTGTAGCAGCACCAGTAGTTACGCTAACTATGCGCTACTATTGCTGCACCCAGAACTCTGCTCTAACTAAACTCCTCCCCACAGTAGCAGCACCAGTAGTTACTCTAACTATGCGCTACTATTGCTGCACCCAGAACTCTACTCTAACTAAACTCCTCCCCCACAGCTGTAGCAGCACCAGTAGTTACGCTAACTATGCGCTACTATTGCTGCACCCAGAACTCTGCTCTAACTAAACTCCTCCCCACAGTAGCAGCACCAGTAGTTACGCTAACTATGCGCTACTATTGCTGCACCCAGAACTCTACTCTAACTAAACTCCTCCCCACAGCTGTAGCAGCACCAGTAGTTACGCTAACTATGCGCTACTATTGCTGCACCCAGAACTCTACTCTAACTAAACCCCTCCACCACAGTAGCAGCACCAGTAGTTACGCTAACTATGCGCTACTATTGCTGCACCCAGAACTCTACTCTAACTAAACTCCTCCCCACAGCTGTAGCAGCACCAGTAGTTACGCTAACTATGCGCTACTATTGCTGCACCCAGAACTCTGCTCTAACTAAACTCCTCCACCACAGTAGCAGCACCAGTAGTTACACTAACTATGCGCTACTATTGCTGCACCCAGAACTCTACTCTAACTAAACTCCTCCCCACAGCTGTAGCAGCACCAGTAGTTACGCTAACTATGCGCTACTATTGCTGCACCCAGAACTCTACTCTAACTAAACCCCTCCACCACAGTAGCAGCACCAGTAGTTACGCTAACTATGCGCTACTATTGCTGCACCCAGAACTCTGCTCTAACTAAACTCCTCCACCACAGTAGCAGCACCAGTAGTTACACTAACTATGCGCTACTATTGCTGCACCCAGAACTCTGCTCTAACTAAACTCCTCCCCACAGCTGTAGCAGCACCAGTAGTTACGCTAACTATGCACTACTATTGCTGCACCCAGAACTCTGCTCTAACTAAACTCCTCCACCACAGTAGCAGCACCAGTAGTTACACTAACTATGCGCTACTATTGCTGCACCCAGAACTCTACTCTAACTAAACTCCTCCCCACAGCTGTAGCAGCACCAGTAGTTACGCTAACTATGCGCTACTATTGCTGCACCCAGAACTCTGCTCTAACTAAACTCCTCCCCACAGTGGCAGCACCAGTAGTTACGCTAACTATGCGCTACTATTGCTGCACCCAGAACTCTGCTCTAACTAAACTCCTCCCCACAGTGGCAGCACCAGTAGTTACACTAACTATGCGCTACTATTGCTGCACCCAGAACTCTGCTCTAATTAAACTCCTCCCCACAGTGGCAGCACCAGTAGTTACACTAACTATGCGCTACTATTGCTGCACCCAGAACTCTGCTCTAACTAAACCCCTCCCCACAGTAGCAGCACCAGTAGTTACGCTAACTATGCGCTACTATTGCTGCACCCAGAACTCTGCTCTAACTAAACTCCTCCCCACAGTGGCAGCACCAGTAGTTACGCTAACTATGCGCTACTATTGCTGCACCCAGAACTCTGCTCTAACTAAACTCCTCCCCACAGTAGCAGCACCAGTAGTTACGCTAACTATGCGCTACTATTGCTGCACCCAGAACTCTGCTCTAACTAAACCCCTCCCCACAGTGGCAGCACCAGTAGTTACACTAACTATGCGCTACTATTGCTGCACCCAGAACTCTGCTCTAACTAAACTCCTCCCCGCAGTAGCAGCACCAGTAGTTACACTAACTATGCGCTACTATTGCTGCACCCAGAACTCTGCTCTAACTAAACTCCTCCCCACAGTGGCAGCACCAGTAGTTACGCTAACTATGCGCTACTATTGCTGCACCCAGAACTCTGCTCTAACTAAACCCCTCCCCCGCAGTAGCAGCACCAGTAGTTACACTAACTATGCGCTACTATTGCTGCACCCAGAACTCTGCTCTAACTAAACTCCTCCCCGCAGTAGCAGCACCAGTAGTTACACTAACTATGCGCTACTATTGCTGCACCCAGAACTCTGCTCTAACTAAACTCCTCCCCACAGTAGCAGCACCAGTAGTTACGCTAACTATGCGCTACTATTGCTGCACCCAGAACTCTGCTCTAACTAAACTCCTCCCCACAGTTGCAGCACCAGTAGTTACACTAACTATGCGCTACTATTGCTGCACCCAGAACTCTGCTCTAACTAAACTCCTCCCCACAGTGGCAGCACCAGTAGTTACGCTAACTATGCGCTACTATTGCTGCACCCAGAACTCTGCTCTGATAGTAGGTGTCCTCCTCAGCACTTCCTCTTTTATTACGGAGTCCTTCCACTTTATGCCAGCCATTCACATCTTCCTAGGTAAGAATAATCACTAGTCACCATAGTTACACTACTAGTTACCATAGTTACACTACTACATTCACATCTTCCTAGGTAAGAATAATCGACTACTACACCAAATAAAATTATGATAATACTAAAGGAACATTGCAAGTACTCCACTGACTTAAGTAACTGAAAAAAGTTACATTTTTTTTCCAAAAAAGGCTGTACCCTATAGGGCCTGTACGGTACGTACCTTTAAAAGTTGCTGTACCGTACGTAATTTAAGCCCAGTATCGTACGTACTTCTCATTATAGGGTAAGAATAGCAGGTGAAACATGAAACCCGGCCGTTAGGGCAAGATAGGGAGGATAAAATGACTTTGTTTGAAATAGGTATCACCCAAAATCATCTTTATCACCTTATCTCCTAGATTTTGTTTAAGTTTAACCAAATCAAGATAATATTACCTCTCAATTGCTGATCTAATTTACTTGCCGGAACACTGAAATCATGATTTGAACAAGGGATCGTTCACATATAACGTACTAGGCTACTAGTGTTTGTCATTTTATACCTCCCCATCAAAAAATCCTTCTGTCCCTGCTCCCCATCCCCCTTTTATGTTTTTTATGACTATTCTTTAGAAATCACACGTCGTGATTTCCCTGCACTCGGGCAGTTCCCAGTTCCTGACGTTAGGTTCACATATTGTCCAAAAATTGATTACGTAATATGTAATAATAACGACCCTTAAGTATTTCTGAACCCGTCTTGCCCGGATTACATAATATGTTAACGATTCCTAGTTCCAACTTTGACACTAGTTTTGTTTTACCCCAGCAATCTGCATGGGAGTTGCCCGAGCCCTGGTGGATACGTCAGTACTTCACATCATAGCCGGCAAGAACCCAGCCCTCCCGGGAACCACAGGTTTTAGCATTTGGTCCGCCACATTGGGGTTCAGTTACGCAGTGGCTGGAATGATCATGTTCTTTATCTCAGATTCAGATAGTATCTCACAGGTTTGTCATGTTCTTTAAGTTTATATTCAATGGATATTAGAAAAAAATTTACATGCCATTAAAAAGGATTCTTGGCACTAATTATTTCTGCCCTACTTCCCCTTTTTCTGCGAGACTGAAAATTGCATGTGTTCACTGAATGTTTGTTTTCAGGCCACGGACAGTGTAAACAATGCTAACAGTACCGCCCTAACTGGTGATCCAAATTTAGCGTTTAGTTTCGCGGAGATGGTCACACCAATGGTTATCTACATAATCGGGGGAGGGTTCTTAGTGGGTGCTTCCGTAAAAGGCAAATGCGACTTGAAACAGCAGCTGATTGAAAATGATCCCCGCAAAGGGTCGGTCAGACTGAACAGACGGGCTTATTGTGCTGTAGCTGTAATGATACTATTCTACGGGTTTATAGGCAGCAACCTGTTCCAGTTGTTTGCAGTTTGCTCGGATAGTATTGGTTTCCAGGCTCAGTCTCTCACTTGTTTCGGAGTAGCCTTCACTCTGATGAGTCTATATGTGACATACCGAGGGAAATCCGAGCTGGATACCTCTGCAATACTTTCCACTCTCCTGGTTATTGGGTTTATCTTAACAGGGATCCTCTTCCCTGTGGACTGTATTGCTGGGGAGGATTTCTACATGATGGGGAGTTCCATGATGCTCATCCCCATGGCAGGGATGTTCCTAGGAGGGGGGTGTGGTCTCCTCACTTGCGAGGTCCTGTCTCTTGTCTCCATGGGGTGGCCCACTATCTTCAAATACGCAGCTCTGGTGTCTTCACAGGGACTGTGGGCGGCTGCCTCCCCCTTTGTCCCTATAGACGGCTGGCCGCGTAACTTCCTTGTTATAATGTCAGTCCTTGCTGTAGTGTATTACTTCACCGCCTTTTACATTCACGCTGTTCTTAAGAGGTTCAAGAAGGTGAAGGATAGGGAGAGGTTGACGTACGGAGCAGTGGACCAAAAACCTAAAGAAATTGAAAACATACCAATACCATCATCTTCAGCTACATCTGATGTGGTCCCTGTTTGAATCGTGCTTCTTCGCTCTAAAAGCAACAAATGAACACTATCACAACATCTCTATTACTATTAGTGGTAATATCTTTGTCAGGGGAATATAAAATGGGAGATGAGATCTGAATAGTCTATATCAATAAGTTCACGATTGTAGTGGATTCCTGGTCATATACAAATGAGACAAATAAAGCTTCTAGAAGGTTCCAGAAGTGTGGGGACCACCAAACCTGTCGCCTCGGGAAGGACATTTGCACCATCGTAGGCGCATGTGTGAGCTGAAATACGTATTTTCTTCCCTGGTCAACTTACCAATATTACTTTATAAATTTGAGCATTTTTATTTCCTTTTCACCCTTTTGAAAAAAGGCAATAGTGAAAGGTTACGAATGGAGGTTTTTGCAGAAAAACGTGGATTTTGGAGAACGAGATAGGTGGGTTTAAATATGTCGTGTGTTCGTTCGTTACCATTTTTTTATAATTATTACAGGTTATATATATAATGAATATCATCATTGTCAAAAATAAAAACCAGTCCATGGGACTGAAAAAATTAATTAACTTTCGATTCGAAAGAGTTAAATTCTAAATCATCCATGTTAGATAATTCTACAGTTCTATTTGAGGTTTTTCTAGATCCTCTTATACATAATAAAATCATTTTTCTAATTAAAAAAGATAACTTACACCGATAATAATTAATAATATCGCTGTAATTCTGTTTTTGTTTATATGCAAGTTTATTGCATAGTAGTTTCTCGAACGTCTTAGCCTGCGGTCCCATGCCACCCGTCACTGAGTAGATTAATGGAGCAAATGATCCGTGCTCTACATTTAAAATCCTTTCGTTGTAACATCTGGATTTCTGTTTCTCGGCATTCTCCATGACTTTCTTTGTCGAATGTTGAAGGTAGGAATTAGAATTAGGATTAATTACCTTAACATCGAAAAAAGCCACTTGGCCTGCCCTATAGAAACCACGAGCTTTTATATCCGGTCTCGCCTGGTCACCCGTAAGTGTCGAAGACCTCGTGAACTGCTCTCCTTCTAGTTCTTGAAGCTGAGGTTCAACTTCCACGTCCGAGCAAACCGTCTTCAACAAGCCTCCTAAAAAATCCCTAATTTCGTTGTGTCTGATAATGATGTAGCCACCAAGATGGCAATTTAGAGAATGGTTCACATCAAACGTTTTTCCACATGGACAGTGTGAAGGTAAACGATCCAGATCTAAGTTGTATCGCAATCTGATAGAATCCCTAAATTCAGATTTATTTAGAACGAAACCATGTTTTCTTAGTGGTAGACATGAGAGCCAATTTGAGCTCCCTGGTTCGCTAATCTGCTCCAAAATCCTTGCAGTGTTCTTGTCAACCTTTTTAAGTATCTCCTCTTGTTGTTCTTTATATTCCAAAACACGCTGTTTTAACATATCTTGAAGCTCATCTCTCGATTCCGTGTCAGTTGTAGCAAGAGATTTTCCTTTCATGGAATTTACCAGTCCCCGGGTTACCAAAAGCGATGCAGCATGTTCTCTTTTCGCTAGATACTCCAACTGTGGCATTCCCATACCTCCGTTCTTTAATGGTAATGACATAAGCTCTCGGTGTATAGGAGATACTGGACAACCAAATATAGTTGGAATAAGCTCATGAGTGATTATTTTGTCAAGAGGGCCCATATAAGAGCTGATATCTAGTGTCCTCATAAAATATGTAAATTTGTGGCGGACACCGTGCGTAAAACAAGCGTAGGCTGCCTGAGGCTGTGATTTGGCAAACTGTACTAACTTACCATGCAACGAAAAAGTTGGGCGCGCGCGAGGATTGCTTGCGGAGATGTGATGTATAGATAGCCTGTGATCTATGAATGCGCGGCGCGACTGTGTATATGATGCATGTAATGTATAATATTACTATTAGGTAATACACCCAATTTGTACGTGGCACGCGTAGTGTATTGATGTGTACACGAGTATATATAATTGATTCACGATGTCAATCCTTCGCAGCTCGGTGAGGCACAGTGGTGCATCTCGCCGATCTACCGAAGGTAGAGAAGCGTTGGTTGCGAGAAGCGTTGGTTGCGAGAAGCATTATTTGATGCGCGCGCGACCCAGTAGTGCATCGCGCTACAAATATATAATAGTTTACCTTTGCTGATAATTTCTTGAATTACAGATACAAGTTAAGTTCTATGGCAATTGAACTGAATTTCAAGTGTTTCCCGTATTTGATGCATAATTGATCAATATTATTATCATGAAGATTGAAGTGAGCTGATTGGAGCTTATAGTTATACTTAAATTTATATAGTATATACTTATAGTATACTTATACTTAAATATATATAGTAAATGTGAAATGGAAATCTAGCGTCCGCCAAAACGAAACAACGGGCGCAATTCTTGTTTTGTGCTCAAGGTAATTATTAAATTATTGTTAATTACTTATTTAAACAATATTATGAGAGTTGAGGTTCCAAGTTCCAACTACATGTAGTGTTGCCATGGTTACATTATCATCAATATGAGAAGAAGATTTTTTCTTTTAAATACAAGTTTAATGAGAATTTAAGATTTCTCCACGAACATGTTCAATCAATTAAAACACAAAATATAATACTGACTACTGAGAAATAGGTTAGTCGGATAACACTCCCATTTAACTGTTGAGAGGTATGCTAGGTCAAGAATGAAATGTCAGCGTTGGATTAATTTAAAAGACATGATTAAATGTGATTTGAATTTTATAAGGTTTAAATTTAGACATTATTCGAGATCAATTTGAAATGGCGAATATTAGATTGTTTTGAACAATATTTTAATGGATTAAGATTTCTGATAGAGATCAGTTTACTGTGTGTTCAAGAACACGATTTTTATATTAAAAACTTCTGTTAGCATATCATAATACTATCTGTTATAAGAGTATTAAACAGGTTGTATATCCCGGCCACCCCTCCCTTCATAATAGTCTTATACATAGCTATTGTGTTAAACTTACACTAACATCGTAATCATTAGAAACCCAGGGCCCCTCAGTGATTACGTAATATGTGAATAATATGTAATATGTTAACTACCTGCTTAATACTCGGCTGTATCTGTTACTTGGCTTAATTCTGAGTAGTTTCAGTTTTTCATTAACTTTTCAAAACTCATGTTGAGTAGTCTCTAATTTTCAAAATGTTTCAAAATTCAAATACCATTTGTTCAAATAGTTACTGTTGCCATAGTTACTGTTCAAATGTACATTTAATAAAACCTCCGTTTATATCATTTATCAAGCTTAAGTATACTTTAACTTCGGGTATATTTAACACATCTTATTTAGTTTAAGTGATGACTTTAGACGAGGAACTGCCAGAAAAGGTAGTAAGAAAGGGTGACTTCGTTACAGTTATAGTGGTCAGTCTCGTGTACTGCCTGATCCAGATACCCAGCATTACCCCTACCACTTTTCAGCAATCGGTATGTTATAATAATAATATATTATTAATAAATAAATATAATACTTATATTTATTTATTATAATTTATATTAGTTTATTATAGAGTGGTATGTTATAATAATAAATAAATATAATACTTATATTTATTTATTATAATTTATAAATTATAATAAATAAATATAATACTTATATTTATTTATTATAGTTTATATTAGTTTATTATAGAGTGGTCACGTTGATATTACGGAGCCTTCGTTTTTCTTAGAATAAGCCTTACTATTCTCGTTCCTATTTTGAGAGCGATTCTCGTTGAATTGAGGCCGTGGTCACGGATTTCAGAGAATCGGCGGTCTGTTTTTTTTACAGTTTTACTTTGAAAGTTGTTTGTTGCTGAATATTTTGATCACGTCACCATTTAGAACCGCTCTGACATGGTTAGTACCTGACACTTGTGTCAGTTGCTAACCATATGGGCGGTATACAAATTACAAGCACAACATTTCATTTCAAAGTACCGTACACATATTACGTAGGGAGGAGGGAGGAAATACTTTTACTCGAGTAATCTAAACAATTATAAACAAAAGTGCTAGTCGAATATGCGGAGAGGGGGTCTAAGTCTGGCTTCTGAAATGTACGCTGTAAGCTGATTCGTAACCATGGTGACACAGATTTCGTGAGATTTAATGTATAATATTGCAGAGAGTTAACACTACGGAAGTTGACGTTGTTTTTTCTCTCATCCCCCACAAAGATATGATTCCTGTGTTGATTTACTTTACAGCTGTAGCAGGTAACCATGGTAACACTACTTACTAGTTATTATTATTATTAGCAGGTAACACTATTTATTAGACGGTTTCATTTATGATATTTCACTAAACATCGGTAAACTATAGTACATATTATGGTATTTCAGTTATGGAATTCACCGTCTCTAAATTCACCATATTTTGCATTAAAAGTCTATACTATTTTTCAGCGTCCTCAGTAGCAGATACCTTAATTAAAAGTCTGTATTGCTTTTCCGCGTCCTCAGTAGCAGCTACCTTAATTAAAAGTCTATACTGTTTTTCAGCGTCCTCAGTAGCAGCTACCTTAATTGAAAGTCTATACTGTTTTTCAGCGTCCTCAGTAGCAGCTACCTTAATTGAAAGTCTATACTGTTTTTCAGCGTCCTCAGTAGCAGCTACCTTAATTAAAAGTCTACACTGTTTTTCAGCGTCCTCAGTAGTAGCTACCTTAATTGAAAGTCTATACTGTTTTTCAGCGTCCTCAGTAGCAGCTACCTTAATTGAAAGTCTATACTGTTTTTCAGCGTCCTCAGTAGCAGCTACCTTGATTGAAAGTCTATACTGTTTTTCAGCGTCCTCAGTAGCAGCTACCTTAATTAAAAGTCTATACTGTTTTTCAGCGTCCTCAGTAGCAGCTACTTTAATTAAAAGTCTATACTGTTTTTCAGCGTCCTCAGTAGCAGCTACCTTAATTAAAAGTCTATACTGTTTTTCAGCGTCCTCAGCAGCAGCTACCTTAATTAAAAGTCTATACTGTTTTTCAGCGTCCTCAGCAGCAGCTACCTTAATTAAAAGTCTATACTGTTTTTCAGCGTCCTCAGTAGCAGTGTACGCTGTTTAATATCCGTCCTGATTCGAGCATTTCTTTAAGTCCAAATAACACATTTTAATATGATCGTAAATTATTGTAAAGACCTTGAAACTTACAGCCCATTTACTACGGAACCTCCCACGGATTCTGTACCCTTATTTTAAGCTGTTTAGATTTAAGTTCTTGATATTCCGAGCATTCCAAGTGGTTAGTTTTGAATGGTCTTGACTAGTATTTTGATTGAGCCAGTCGGCTCATCTCCAGGTTTCATGATAAGGTGATAATTAACAAAGTTTTAGAATTATTTACAGGTTAATGATCCAAGCCTGCAGGAATTTAAATCAGACTTTCACGTGCGCTTATTTTAGAATTTTTAAAGTAATAAGATCGTGTGAAGAAATATGTTACTGTGGAGATTCGCACGGAGACAAGTTTATGCTGTTCGAGTTTTGTGTATTTGCAACGTGATTTATAAGACGAGTTTTCCCTTTGAAAGATAAGGAGGTTATCCCTTTGAAAGAGAAGGACGTAAGAATGTTTTGCAATATTGTTTTAGTAGCAACGAGATTTACGAAGACAATTATAACACTTTTAAGAACGAGATCAGAGAAATTGATTTGAATTTTGCACGGAATTCAGAGACATTGATAATGATATTGTTACGATTCAGACACGTGAATGACGTCATGAATGCGATAAGGAATTATTTATAAGGTCGTATTTTTATCCAATAAGTGGCTTTGGGCTCTTAACTTTTAGGCTTCAGACCCTTAGGTCTTAGGGCTTGGTTATAGGTTCTTGTCTTTTGAGCTCTGGGTTCTTGTTTCTTGGGCCTTGACTCTTAAGTCCCAATGTTTGACGTTTTTAAGTTTGTAAGTTCCAGTACTGAGGGTACAGAATCCTATACTGTGACTCATTTTGTGACAAGTAGTATTTATACTTTACTCCACTTCGCTTTACATTAGTTTACGAACTTGTCTCAATTGTCCCCCCCTCTATCTCGAAAATAAAGAAAAGCTAAAGACACCTCTGACCTCGCCTAAAACTCTCAACTTTAACTCCTTCTACCAAATTACCCCCTAAGCGCACAATTTGGTGGAGAACCCGGGCACTGAGTTGTACGCTGCAGTCTATTGGAACTCAGCCAACCGATCCCAAACGAGGTTATAATTTACTACATTAGTCATGGGAGATCCACTTGCTACATTAGAGTTGAAGACGACTTGGTCCTAATGTGGAAACTTCTTAGCCTCTCCATTACAGATTTCACAAAATTCAAGAATTGACACAGTCCTGGAACCCTTGAACCCTCGAAGATCTTCAAAGTCCTAGCCTCTTGGACCTACCTGGTACAACACCTGGAAACGAATAAGCAGACTGTGTGCCATTTTGACACAATAAAGCTTATCCATACAAATTAACGCAAAGCTGAAACTCCTAGTCAACACTAGATAACAATACCTTACAAGCACAACCCGATGAAACTAACATGCCTAAGTTGATGAAGCTAAGTTAGGATCCACATCTAACATTCTAACCAATTAGTTTCGTCCACCTGAAGGATTATGACTTTTACTTACAGAAATGTCAAGGACTGATATCTTATGGTGATAAAATCAACAAATGTGATTGTTCATCTGGTCGGGTCCCAGCTAAGAGTAGTGGTTCATTGCAAGGAGTTGCTGCTTTTGCTGATGAACCCGCAGCAAATACTCTAGCTGTGATCTACCTCCCAGAGACCCCATTCTAGCATCACGATGACCCTTGTCAGTTGTTACGTTGATCGCTACTTGCTAGCTTTAGTTGATAATAAGCGAAGTATAGACTTGTCGATCCGAGCACTCTAGAGATATCAATTAGAAGAACCTTGATATGCAAAGGAACCGGCAATGCTACTGAAAAGATCACCAATGACGATGAGAACCACAAGATATCTGATCCGATGGACGAAAGTGAAAGGACGAAACTGATGTTCGGCACTGTTATGGAAATGGAAGCACCAACCAGCGAACCCATGAATGAAAACAATGCCCCGGACCGCTCAGAGACTGAACAAACTAGGTACAACCCCAGACCAAAAAGGATATTTTTCGCTCTTCAAAGGTTAGCCCAAGCTTTAATTTGCATTGTTCGCTCCATCGTTTCTCAAGTCTACTCTGGCCAAAACTGGTCCTGTCTCCCTTTCCACATGAAATTTTGAAAGATTCTGAAAGACACTGAAAGACACCGAAAGTTACTGAAAGACACTTATTACGACGGAAAGAACTATGAATGCCTATCTGGCTGGTTAACTCTACCAAGTAGTGATTCATTGACGAGGAGTTGCTACCATTAGTTGATGAGTCCATGTAGTAAATACTTGGAAGATTTGATCTACCTGTTGGTATAAGTAGTTTTGCAACGGCTGAAACTTTTAACTGTTTCGAACTTGATGACAAAGGTTGCACTTGATACCCATAAATAGTTAGACATTCCGATTGAAATGCTGATTTGACAGTAAGAAAACAGGTCTAATGAATGTTGCTGAGTGCAAAAGTTCAAGCCGAAGCTGACATTAAATCACTCCTGAAAGAACCTCCAGCCCACTCTTCAGTTCGACAACAGAGGATAACTCACTGGTCGAACATGGACATGATCCAAAAGAATTGATGTAATTTTGCAAATTATGATAGTTGCAGAATCACAATTTATGTAACAGGAACCTTACAGAAGGTATAACGATACCACTCTGGAAACTACCCTCTCACTACTTCTTCTTCACTCTATAACAACCCCCAGCAAGTTTTAGACAAGCTGTTCCTCGAAAAAAGTCACGGAAAAGACATCGGACAAGCTTGGAAGATTAAAACAAAGCTAACGAATAACTCTGCAGATTTCAGCCGCGAATTAAAGACACAGTATTTGATATATGAACTTGAAGCTCACTGCCTAATGCAGTTATGAATAAACATTGCCTCCTTAACTAAATAGATATTACATTGTAACTTTTCGTGATTATAAACCCGATAAATATGACATGTTATAATTATATTATCATCGATGATCGTAAGCCTTTAATAACGCAGCATGTGATTTAGACTTTAAGGATTCATAGAAACACTGCATGTAATATGATATGAGATCTGTTAGCTGTATCTTAACTGAAAGACTGTACAGAGAGAATCAATCTTAGCATTTTTTAAGAGGGAAGTGTTGTACGCTGTTTAATATCCGTCCTGATTCGAGCATTTCTTTAAGTCCAAATAACACATTTTAATATGATCGTAAATTATTGTAAAGACCTTGAAACTTACAGCCCATTTACTACGGAACCTCCCACGGATTCTGTACCCTTATTTTAAGCTGTTTAGATTTAAGTTCTTGATATTCCGAGCATTCCAAGTGGTTAGTTTTGAATGGTCTTGACTAGTATTTTGATTGAGCCAGTCGGCTCATCTCCAGGTTTCATGATAAGGTGATAATTAACAAAGTTTTAGAATTATTTACAGGTTAATGATCCAAGCCTGCAGGAATTTAAATCAGACTTTCACGTGCGCTTATTTTAGAATTTTTAAAGTAATAAGATCGTGTGAAGAAATATGTTACTGTGGAGATTCGCACGGAGACAAGTTTATGCTGTTCGAGTTTTGTGTATTTGCAACGTGATTTATAAGACGAGTTTTCCCTTTGAAAGATAAGGAGGTTATCCCTTTGAAAGAGAAGGACGTAAGAATGTTTTGCAATATTGTTTTAGTAGCAACGAGATTTACGAAGACAATTATAACACTTTTAAGAACGAGATCAGAGAAATTGATTTGAATTTTGCACGGAATTCAGAGACATTGATAATGATATTGTTACGATTCAGACACGTGAATGACGTCATGAATGCGATAAGGAATTATTTATAAGGTCGTATTTTTATCCAATAAGTGGCTTTGGGCTCTTAACTTTTAGGCTTCAGACCCTTAGGTCTTAGGGCTTGGTTATAGGTTCTTGTCTTTTGAGCTCTGGGTTCTTGTTTCTTGGGCCTTGACTCTTAAGTCCCAATGTTTGACGTTTTTAAGTTTGTAAGTTCCAGTACTGAGGGTACAGAATCCTATACTGTGACTCATTTTGTGACAAGTAGTATTTATACTTTACTCCACTTCGCTTTACATTAGTTTACGAACTTGTCTCAATTGTCCCCCCCTCTATCTCGAAAATAAAGAAAAGCTAAAGACACCTCTGACCTCGCCTAAAACTCTCAACTTTAACTCCTTCTACCAAATTACCCCCTAAGCGCACAGCAGCTACCTTAATTAAAAGTCTATACTGTTTTTCAGCGTCCTCAGTATCAGCTACCTTAATTAAAAGTCTATACTGTTTTTCAGCGTCCTCAGTAGCAGCTACCTTAATTAAAAGTCTATACTGTTTTTCAGCGTCCTCAGTAGCAGCTACCTTAATTAAAAGTCTACACTGTTTTTCAGCGTCCTCAGTAGCAGCTACCTTAATTAAAAGTCTATACTGTTTTTCAGCGTCCTCAGTAGCAGCTACCTTAATTGAAAGTCTATACTGTTTTTCAGCGTCCTCAGTAGCAGCTACCTTAATTGAAAGTCTATACTGTTTTTCAGCGTCCTTAGTAGCAGCTACCTTAATTGAAAGTCTATACTGTTTTTCAGCGTCCTCAGTAGCAGCTACCTTGATTGAAAGTCTATACTGTTTTTCAGCGTCCTCAGCAGCAGCTACCATAATTAAAAGTCTATACTGTTTTTCAGCGTCCTCAGCAGCAGCTACCTTAATTAAAAGTCTATACTGTTTTTCAGCGTCCTCAGTAGCAGCTACCTTAATTAAAAGTCTATACTGTTTTTCAGCGTCCTCAGTAGCAGCTACCTTAATTAAAAGTCTATACTGTTTTTCAGCGTCCTCAGTAGCAGCTACCTTAATTGAAATACTATACTGTTTTTCAGCGTCCTCAGTAGCAGCTACCTTAATTAAGAGTCTATACTGTTTTTCAGCGTCCTCAGTAGCAGTTACCTTAATTAAAAGTCTATACTATTTTTCAGCGTCCTCAGTAGCAGATACCTTAATTAAAAGTCTATACTGTTTTTCAGCGTCCTCAGTAGCAGCTACCTTAATTAAAAGTCTACACTGTTTTTCAGCGTCCTCAGTAGCAGCTACCTTAATTAAAAGTCTACACTGTTTTTCAGCGTCCTCAGTAGCAGCTACTTTAATTAAAAGTCTATACTGTTTTTCAGCGTCCTCAGTAGCAGTTACCTTAATTAAAAGTCTATACTGTTTTTCAGCGTCCTCAGTAGCAGCTACCTTAATTAAAAGTCTATACTGTTTTTCAGCGTCCTCAGTAGCAGCTACCTTAATTAAAAGTCTATACTGTTTTTCAGCGTCCTCAGTAGCAGCTACCTTAATTAAAAGTCTATACTTTTTTCAGCGTCCTCAGTAGCAGCTACCTTAATTAAAAGTCTATACTGTTTTTCAGCGCCCTCAGTAGCAGCTACCTTAATTAAAAGTCTGTACTGTTTTTCAGCGTCCTCAGTAGCAGCTACCTTAATTAAAAGTCTATACTGTTTTTCAGCGTCCTCAGTAGCAGCTACCTTAATTAAAAGTCTATACCGTTTTCAGCGTCCTCAGTATAAGTAGCAGCTACCTTAACCCATTAGGGACGATAGGGTCGTTTTTATGACCCACTTTTTCTAGACGAAAAACCAAATTACTAAACGCTATAACGAATCTATAGCATATATGCTCAAAATTTATTGGGCTACATATAATGAAGCCCGATAAATTTTGTGTATATATGCTATAGATTCGTTATAGCGTTTAGTAATTTGGTTTTTCGTCTAGAAAAGGTGGGTCATAAAAACGACCCTATCGTCCCTAATGGGTTAATTAAAAGTCTATACTGTTTTTCAGCGTCCTCAGTAGCAGCTACCTTGGTCACATTCTCTGGACACTACGATTACGTGCTCTTAGGCTTCTCAGTACTCTCAGTGTCAAGGGTCTTCCTTGGTGGGGGTTACAACTCACTTGTTGTAATTATCCTAGGTAAGTAGTTTTAACATGTAACTCTATTTAACATAATCTATTTAACATACTCTATTTAACATACTCTATTACCACTTTTCAAAAGTTCACAAACTACGAAACTGATAGGATGCAAATTGACAAGTTTAACATTTTCCATAAAGTTTCTTATTTCAGGAGCCCTCTCCGGATTAGGACTGGGAGGATCGTTCGTAACTACATCCCTCTACCTAATAACTCTCTCGGACAACAAGAAAACGGCCCGTAACTTCAGCTTCTTTGCAGCGTGCTGTGGAGCGTCCTACCTTGTCTACGCAGGGATGCTGGGTATAACCAACCCCTGCACTGAGGGGGCCTGTAGAACGGGCAGTTTCGTAGCCTCGCTCAGCGGACTGCTCATCATGGTGCTGTTCATTGTGAGAAACAAAGCCATCAAGTCTGGAACAGTGGAGGAGAGAAGCATGCTGTTCAGTAAGGACAGTTTAGACTTTATAAACGGGACACACCGCTACAGACAGCATATTAACAAGTGGGCAGTACTGGAGGTGCTTATAGCGGTCATGTTTTACACCTACTCGGTAGAGCTACTCTCCATGTTATTCTCCCACTGTGTACTGATAACTGGGAGTTACAGATACCACGCTGAGGCTCTCATACCTTACGGGATAGGCTTCATGTTGGCTTCCCTGCAGTGGTCCTACTACTACAAGCACTGGACATCACCCATCAGAACTGTCATCTCCACAGTGCTCCTAGTCACAGGACTCATCATATCTCTCCTCATATTCCGACACGACGCTTGCTCCACCCCCCAGCTGTTGGAGTCCTGGTACATGGTACCCGTCATAGCCCTGCTGACTGGCCAGAGTGTGGGCTCTGTCACGTGCGAGACCTACACTGTCATGAACATTGCCTGGTCCACCAGGGCCAAGTTTAGTGTGTTGGTGGTCATTGAAACGGTGTGGGCGCTGGGCTTCTTCTTGCTGTTCAGAAACATTACTGTCACTATACATATTAGTGTGCTCTCTGTTCTGGGCATTTTTTATTGTTTTAGTATGATGAGTTTTCAGAAGAGAGCTAAGAAGTTCTATCAGAGAATGGACAGTTATTTGACTAAGAATGTTAGTTCTTGTTCCAGTAAGACGTCCACTTCCAAATATGGGTCTAATATGACTTACTTACTTTAGATACTTGTAACCTGTGGGAATTATTTTTTTTCTATTTTTAAGAATTTTAAAGAATTAATGCTTATGATTATGTTCAGAACTTTTTACATTAAATTTTTTCAGAATTTCAATAATTTTTATAAACTGCCGTTTGATTTAGGAACAATAAACACACATAACTTGAAATAAAAAGTTCAGTAGAGCTATTATAGTACACACTATTCCGGAACAAGTATGAGTAATATTGGCCCGCAAACACCTCTCAGTACGCACTGACTAACTCTTCCTTTAGACCAACCTTTTCCGTATTTCGCCGTTAATATACTTTTTACCTTATGATTGGGTCGTAATTCAAAAGATAATTTGTCAAGAAGTCTGGCTCACAAGATCACTTAACGTCACTTAAAGCTCAATTATAGCGACCTTGTCTAGCGACTGGACGGCAACAGGTGGATATGATCCGGTACAAGAAATATCCTTGTGTTTGGCTTGTACTAGTTCTAGTTGGGTATTTAACATACTCTATTTAACATAATCTATTACCACTTTTCAAAAGTTCACAAACTACGAAACTGATAGGATGCAAATTGACAAGTTAAACATTTTCCATAAAGTTTCTCATTTCAGGAGCCCTCTCCGGATTAGGACTGGGAGGATCGTTCGTGACTACAGCCCTCTACCTAATAACTCTCTCGGACAACAAGAAAACGGCCCGTAACTTCAGCTTCTTTGCAGCGTGCTGTGGAGCGTCCTACCTTGTTTACGCGGGGATGCTGGGTATCACCAACCCCTGCACTGAGGGGGCCTGTAGAACGGGCAGTTTCGTAGCCTCGCTCAGCGGACTGCTCATCATGGTGCTGTTCATTGTGAGAAACAAAGCCCTTAAGTCTGGAACAGTGGAGGAGAGAAGCATGTTGTTCAGTAAGGACAGTTTAGACTTTATAAACGGGACACACCGCTACAGACAGCATATAAACAAGTGGGCAGTACTGGAGGTGCTTATAGCGGTCATGTTTTACACCTACTCTGTAGAGCTACTGTCCATGTTATTCTCCCACTGTGTACTGATAACTGGGAGTTACAGATACCACGCTGAGGCTCTCATACCTTACGGGATAGGCTTCATGTTGGCTTCCCTGCAGTGGTCCTACTACTACAAGCACTGGACATCACCTATCAGAACAGTCATCTCCACAGTGCTCCTAGTCACAGGACTCATCATATCTCTCCTCATATTCCGACACGACGCTTGCTCCACCCCACAGTTGTTGGAGTCCTGGTACATGGTACCCGTCATAGCCCTGCTGACTGGCCAGAGTGTGGGCTCTGTCACGTGCGAGACCTACACTGTCATGAACATTGCCTGGTCCACCAGGGCCAAGTTTAGTGTGTTGGTGGTCATTGAAACGGTGTGGGCGCTGGGCTTCTTCTTGCTGTTCAGAAACATTACTGTCACTATACATATTAGTGTGCTCTCTGTTCTGGGCATTTTTTATTGTTTTAGTATGATGAGTTTTCAGAAGAGAGCTAAGAAGTTCTATCAGAGAATGGACAGTTATTTGACTAAGAATGTTAGTTCTTGTTCCAGTAAGACGTCCACTTCCAAATATGGGTCCAATATGACTTACTTACTTTAGATACTTGTAACCTGTGGGAACTATTTTTTTTCTATTTTTAAGAATTTTAAAGAATTAATGCTTATGATTAAAATATGTTCAGAACTTTATACATTAAATTTTTTCAGAATTTCAATAATTTTTATAAACTGCCGTTTGATTTAGGAACAATAAACACACATAACTTGAAATAAAAAGTTCAGTAGAGCTATTATAGTACACAGTATTCCGGAACAAGTATGAGTAATATTGGCCCGCAAACACTTCTCAGTACGCACTGACTGACTCCTCTTGTAGACCAACCTTTTCCGTATTTCGCCGTTAATACACTTTTTACTTATCATGGTCGGGTCGTAATTCAAAAGATAATTTGACAAGAAGTCTGGCTCACAAGATCACTTAACGTCACTTAGCGCTTAATTATAGCGACCTTGTCTAGCGACTGGACGGCAACAGGTGGATATGATCCGGTACAAGAAATATCCTTGTGTTTGGCTTGTACTAGCTCTTTTTCAGCGTCCTCAGTAGCAGCTACCTTAATTAAAAGTCTATACTGGTTTTCAGCGTCCTCAGTAGCAGCTACCTTAATTAAAAGTCTATACTGTTTTTCAGCGTCCTCAGTAGCAGCTACCTTGGTCACATTCTCTGGACACTACGATTACGTGCTCTTAGGCTTCTCTGTGCTGTCAGTGTCAAGGGTCTTCCTTGGTGGGGGTTACAACTCACTTGTTGTAATTATCCTAGGTAAGTAGTTTTAACATGTAACTCTATTTAACATGTTACTCTATTTAACATACTCTATTTAACATACTCTATTTAACATACTCTATTTAACATACTCTATTACCACTTTTCAAAAGTTCACAAACTACGAAACTGATAGGATGCAAATTGACAAGTTTAACATTTTCCATAAAGTTTCTTATTTCAGGAGCACTCTCCGGATTAGGACTGGGAGGATCGTTCGTAACTACAGCCCTCTACCTAATAACTCTCTCGGACAACAAGAAAACAGCCCGTAACTTCAGCTTCTTTGCAGCGTGCTGTGGAGCGTCCTACCTTGTCTACGCGGGGATGCTGGGTATCACCAACCCCTGCACTGAGGGGGCCTGTAGAACGGGCAGCTTCGTAGCCTCGCTCAGCGGACTGCTCATCATGGTGCTGTTCATTGTGAGAAACAAAGCCCTCAAGTCTGGAACAGTGGAGGAGAGAAGCATGTTGTTCAGTAAGGACAGTTTAGACTTTATAAACGGGACACACCGCTACAGACAGCATATAAACAAGTGGGCAGTACTGGAGGTGCTTATAGCGGTCATGTTTTACACCTACTCTGTAGAGCTACTGTCCATGTTATTCTCCCACTGTGTACTGATAACTGGGAGTTACAGATACCACGCTGAGGCTCTCATACCTTACGGGATAGGCTTCATGTTGGCTTCCCTGCAGTGGTCCTACTACTACAAGCACTGGACATCACCTATCAGAACAGTCATCTCCACAGTGCTCCTAGTCACAGGACTCATCATATCTCTCCTCATATTCCGACACGACGCTTGCTCCACCCCACAGTTGTTGGAGTCCTGGTACATGGTACCCGTCATAGCCCTGCTGACTGGCCAGAGTGTGGGCTCTGTCACGTGCGAGACCTACACTGTCATGAACATTGCCTGGTCCACCAGGGCCAAGTTTAGTGTGTTGGTGGTCATTGAAACGGTGTGGGCGCTGGGCTTCTTCTTGCTGTTCAGAAACATTACTGTCACTATACATATTAGTGTGCTCTCTGTTCTGGGCATTTTTTATTGTTTTAGTATGATGAGTTTTCAGAAGAGAGCTAAGAAGTTCTATCAGAGAATGGACAGTTATTTGACTAAGAATGTTAGTTCTTGTTCCAGTAAGACGTCCACTTCCAAATATGGGTCTAATATGACTTACTTACTTTAGATATTTCTAATCTGTGGGAACTTTCTTTTTTTTTCATTTTTAAGAATTTTAAAGAATTAATGCTTATGATTATGTTCAGAACTTTTTACATTAAATGTTTTCAGAATTTCACTAACTTTTATAAACTGCTGTTTGATTAAGGAACAATAAACACACATAACTTGAAATAAAAAGTTCAGTAGAGCTATACAAATAATAAAAATAAATAAATTATTGCACTGATCTCGAGTATTCCGGAACAAGTGTGAGTAATATTGGCCCGCAAACACTTCTCAGTACGCACTGACTCTTCTTGTAGACCCACCTCTTGATACTGTTCTGATTATAAACTTTGTACAGATTAAAAAGTGGTCCAGAGCCCTTTTTCTGTTTCTGCTCTGGAAGATTTTAGTATCTTATTTAATGCAGGTACTTGTCCTTTTCTGATGTAAGAACCTTGGCAGATGTCTTAGCATCGTAGAAGAGGTCAGCAATTTCCTCGACATCTTCTTTGTGAATTGCATCCCGGCCTGAAAATTGAAATAACCTATAAATTCTCATGTTTCGCTGGGCAACGTTAAACAGTTAAAGTTAGGTTTCACATTGATAATTATTGAGAAACACAGTACTTTAATTTTATAAATATGATTTGCTCACCGTTAATCTTGCTTAGAAGATGTGCAGGTGTGAGAAGCTGAACTGCATATCTGAGGGTGGTTTTTACTCCAATATCCCCCAAACACTGCAGCGAGTCCTCGTCTATAACTAGCCCTTCTATTTGCGCTCTTATCTTCAGAATCTGTGTCGAGATAGGGAGGTTAATCTTCGGTTTCGTAACGTCGACAGTCTATAATTTATCATTATTTCTTTTGAGATTACTTTGTTCTTGTAGATCTCATGTAATTAAGTTTACAATGAACAGGTTGTGATTTGTGATATGCACGGCCTTAGCCCTGAGCTGTAAGGAAAACGTAAAGATTGTTCACAAGACGATGATTTTATGTTGGAACCCAAATATTCTCCTAACTACTCGATGCTCGAACAATAATACACAGTAACGGATTTCTCAATAAGCAGAAATCAACCGGATAGGAATAAATTCAGTTAAGAGGAGGAGTTAAACGAGATTGCTTCCCGGAATCAGCAGAACAAGTTAACCATAGTAACCACATAGTAACCACATAGTAACCACATAGTAACCACATAGTAACCACATAGTAACCACATAGTAACCACATAGTAACAACAAGATGTTGTTACCTAGCAACTACCCTAGCAACAGCAGAACAAGATGTTGTGTGAATGCGCAGAATTCATGGTCCACCGGTAGTCCCTAGAGAATTATCACTAGGGGCAGCCACATGGTGACAAACCTAAAACCAATTACATCGTCTTATGTGGGTCGTAACAAATTCTCAGAAACAATCAGAACTAACCTGAATCATCTCTTCCAGGACGTAGGGAGAAGTTCGGATTATCATAATACGGTCCAAGAGATCCAGGGGCATACCGTGAGGGGACACTATGTCATCAGAACCTCTGAAGGAACGAGAGGTTAGTGGACAATCTTGACACATTTAGTGCTAGGGTAGTGTACCTAGCAACTACCCTAGCAACTGAGTCGTTTATATCTAGCAACTACCCTAGCAACTGAGTCATTTATACCTAGCAACTACAATTTGCAAGTAAGATCTTTAAAATTTCTGTAGCGTAATAGAATCCTGGTCATACTAGAAAAAGTGTGTCATACTAAAGATGATCATGACACAAAGTAAGAAGTGGTCTTACTTGATGGTGCAATGTCCTCGGTTGGTAGCGAATATGACTATGGGGGAGATGGTGCTCTCTAGCGCCTGATGAAGGTAGGTGAAGCACTCTAAATCTAGCATGTGCACCTGAAGTTAATTACAGATTTAGGATTAACTGTGTTAAAAACTCTTTATATCTTTAATAAATGAATTACGTAATTCAATTTTGAAAGTCGTTTTTATTAAATAGGGAGGATTTTATAAAATTTGTTCGGTTGCGGTGGCAAATTCTTAGAAATAATCCCACAATTAGAGTTGAATTTCCAAGAAAAGTCGTTATACGATCGCCGAGCAGTATTAAAGTTATAAATTGTTGCTTGAGCCATCAGAACCAGAATTGAAGCTATTGCGAGGGTTTAATTATCTAGAGAAATATCGAACAGTGGTCATCAGGCCACTCCTGAGGTGGATATTCAGCTAAAAACTCACTTCATCAATAAAGAGAACTCCAGGAACAAGCTCGGCTATTCCCTGGTCAATGTACTTATTAACGACCTTGTTAATCTCCTTCCTCAACTTGTCTGTTATCTCAGTTTTCTTCTGCTTCATGAACTGACCCATTACACTCATAATATCCTGACCTCCCTGAGGTTTAGCATTGGCCACGTCCAGGTCGTGCAGGGTTACGTCCTGAACTATCTCCTTCTTCTTGTGAACATCGCCTTGGGGTTTATTCGTTAGTTTAATGTTGGGGACTGGGGTATTGTAGATACAGAAACTGGTCGTATTTAAAGGAACATTTTAAATAGAGGCCGGTCAAAGTTATAATTTACACTTGGCGGCTCATGATATAATTGGACGCCCATACTCCTTCAGGTCTCCGGTAATGGAGTAGTGTATTTATCGACATAGTTTACCTTTTGGCACGGGGACATATTCCTCCGCCTCCAAATCGAATTCCGTTGCGAAGGAATCAGATCGTCCTTGCCGCTGAAATGGTAAGTTCTAGAAAAACAGCAATTTTCTAGTAAAAACGTACGTGATTTGCGTACAAATCTCCAAACTTGTAGCCATGCGCGCGACGCAAACTCAAATTATTTTATCAATAGAAATGCCCCACTAACGGATGCTTGTCACAATAATTTACTGTTACCATGCGAGTCAAGCTGCCTTGCGAAATATCTGTAATAAACACGATGAGGCAAGGTGTTTCAACTTACACAGATGTTAAGTTAATAATGTAACTGAGATTTACCTTGACAGAACCAGTGTTAGCCTCAATGTAGATTACATCACCAACTTCAACCTTCTCCTTTTGAATAGACTCGTAGATTGTAGGGTCTAACTGAAAGATAACGTATATAGTAATATAGTGTAGCAATATATAGTATATTAATATAGTATAGTAATATATAGTATAGTAATATAGTATAGTAATATAGTGTAGTAAAACATAGTATAGTCATATAGTATAGTAATATATAGTACTAGTGTAACCCGGCCTACGGCCGGGATTTCACTGCTGCAGTTAAAAAGGGTAGGAGTAATTACCCGCTGAGTCAAAACCCGGATTAGGTGAGCAATTCTATTCGGAGTGCCCTCACATATCCAATAGTATGCTTAAAAGATAGTAATTCTTAATCAATAATCAATGGAAATTAACCCTTAACACCATGCACCACACCAGCCTATCATATTTGTGAACATGCATTACATTGTCGTATGAAAGTATGAACTCTCTCTACAGTCCAAACAGACCGTTTGAGCACTCCCTCCCCTAATAAGTTTATAGTATTATATGACCATGTAATATATACGCCATGTAATATATACGCTAAATAATATTATGCAGAGAGAGAGAGAGAGCTAGTCCCGTAACTCTTGCCGTTCTTCTCAAGCCAATTTATGTAACATATTTTGTGGTACAAAACCATCAATTAAACCACTTACCACCGGCCGATTTTTATAAAATTTGCCTATTGGCTTCGTCAGAGTTTTGTCGGCACTATACCGAAAAAACCAGTCCCGTAACTATTACCGTTTTTTTTGTATAACCGTTCGGAAATTACACACAGACGATCAGACAGACAGACAGACAGACACACACACACACACACATTCTGGTGTTATTAAGGTGATAGTCATATAGTATAGTAATATATAGTATAGTCATATAGTATAATAGTAATATAGTATAGTAATATAGTGTAGTAATATAGTGTAGTAATATATAGTATAGTAATATAGTGTAGTAATATAGTGTAGTAATATAGTGTAGTAATATATAGTATATTAATATAGTATAGTAATATATAGTATAGTCATATAGTATAGTAATATAGTGTAGTAATATATAGTATAGTCATATAGTATAGTAATATATAGTATAGTCATATAGTATAGTAATATAGTATAGTAATATAGTGTAGTAATATAGTGTAGTAATATATAGTATAGTAATATAGTGTAGTAATATATAGTGTAGTAATATAGTGTAGTAATATATAGTATATTAATATAGTATAGTAATATATAGTATAGTCATATAGTATAGTAATATAGTATAGTAATATAGTGTAGTAATATAGTGTAGTAATATATAGTATATTAATATAGTATAGTAATATATAGTATAGTAATATAGTGTAGTAATATATAGTATAGTATACGAGAACTGAGAACCTACAATTTACTGTTGAATAAAAGAATAAACGTCACTCCCACATTGTTATTAAGAGGAGAATAAGATAAAGAGACAAAGAGCTTTACCCTTTTCAAGGGTCAGATGTTTAATAAGTTGTGTAATAAGTTAATAGTATTAGAGTTCCAGTTGTCGGTGTTAAACGAAAAACTTAGAATTCTAGAACAACAGATGCCTTTGATCTCTAATCGCATTTACTACGCACTAATGCGTCCTGACGCGCTCCTAATTTAACTAAATCTTATTACTATTCTCAATCTTATTCTTTATTTCACTTTTCAGTTGAGAAATGATTCCTATGGCGCCGTTGTTAGAAAACGTATCTTAAATATCAAGTATAATGCGACTTTTTATATTGCTTATTTGTTTTCAACAATTCTACGCTCAAAACGGTAAGTTTTTTACAGTTAGTATATTTCATTATCTAAAATGGTAACTGTGTTCACGATACCAAACCGTTCAATTTTATTTTGCTCATTAAAGTTTATTAAATTATGTTTTTTTCGTATTAGTTATTTGAAGACAATGGGATTTCTACTATCACAACCTGTACTGAATTGAAACAACAGTAACCGTATTGTAACAGGCTGGATACCAATACACAGAGGGAAATACACTGATTTCAACATACAAGAAACACCGTTACAGCTAAAAGTAGAGAACAGAGCCAGAACAAAGACCCTGTTTGATATCTACAAATCAGCACGTGGTACTACACGTGACATTATAGTCGTGGTTACCATAGTAACCACAACAACCAGCCATTTGAAGATATTTGAGGAGGAATGTATATGGGAAGTATCTGTTGACCGTGCTGAACCAAGTAGAGAGATTATCTGGACATTTGCCAAAACAAGCACAGAGATAATAGTGCGGAATGGGGAGGGGAGGTGGAGGTTTAGATTTAGTGAGTCAGAAGTAGCGCAGTGTCGGGTGTGGGGAGCAGAGTACGATAAGATATACTTCAGAGCTGCTGATAGTGCTACACTTTCTTACAGAGCACTTCCTGTTAGTTCAGGTAACTGCTGCTGATAGTGCTACACTTTCTTACAGAGCACTTCCTGTTAGTTCAGGTAACTGCTGCTGATAGTGCTACACTTTCTTACAGGGCACTTCCTGTTAGTTCAGGTAACTGCTGCTGATAGTGCTACACTTTCTTACAGGGCACTTCCTGTTAGTTCAGGTAACTGCTGCTGATAGTGCTACACTTTCTTACAGGGCACTTCCTGTTAGTTCAGGTAACTGCTGCTGATAGTGCTACACTTTCTTACAGGGCACTTCCTGTTAGTTCAGGTAACTGCTGCTGATAGTGCTACACTTTCTTACAGGGCACTTCCTGTTAGTTCAGGTAACTACTACCTAAGTACCCTTGATAAATACTGCATGTATTCTAATATCACTGCTGATATCTGAAGGTATTAGGGATATTGTTTACCAAGGTAGGACTAATTTATATCATATTCGATACTAGAAAAGTAGGTACTGTTGTGATCACGTGGTTATTAAGCATACACGGCACCTTAATACGGCACCTTAATACGGCACCTTAATACGGTACCTTAATACGGCACCTTAACACGGCACCTTAACACGGCACCTTAATACGGCACCTTAATACGGCACCTTAATACGGCACCTTAATACGGCACCTTAATACGGCACCTTAATACGGCACCTTAACACGGCACCTTAACACGGCATCTTAATACGGCACCTTAATACGGCACCTTAATACGGCACCTTAACACGGCACCTTAACACGGCATCTTAATACGGCACCTTAATACGGCACCTTAATACGGCACCTTAATACGGCACCTTAATACGGCACCTTAATACGGCACCTTAACACAGATATCGAAGTCTCTGGAAGCTATTCGAATAATAAATTTACAATGGACCCGCGGCAGTAAATAAGATTATTTAGACACGAGGGATGCTAACAATGTTGCTATATTAGGGTTATTGTTTACCAAGGTAGGACTAATTTATATCATATTCGATACTAGAAAAGTAGGTACTGTTGTGATCACGTGGTTATTAAGCATACACGGCACCTTAATACGGCACCTTAATACGGCACCTTAACACGGCACCTTAAAACGGCACCTTAACACGGCACCTTAATACGGCACCTTAATACGGCACCTTAATACGGCACCTTAATACGGCACCTTAACACGGCACCTTAACACGGCATCTTAATACGGCACCTTAATACGGCACCTTAATACGGCACCTTAATACGGCACCTTAATACGGCACCTTAATACGGCACCTTAACACAGATATCGAAGTCTCTGGAAGCTATTCGAATAATAAATTTACAATGGACCCACCACCGCACAGTGGGCTGTGAGTGGGGGTCACTGTGCACCGCGATACCGCGACAGTAAATACGATTATTTAAACACGAGGGATGCTAACAATGTTGCTAACAGGGGGGTGCTAACAATGTTGTGTCAGGTCTAGCTATTGTTCACACAGTCAACTTCAAGACAAATGAATGAACCAGATGTTCAACTTGGAGAAAATGAAATCTTCTCCCCTCCTTCATATTTCACCTTTTCACTGTATGTTTGTTAGACTTCGCTGCATTTGATGGCAGTCTGATTCTTTAATAAGAGAGTTATAGAGATGGTAGCAGGAATGCTGCTACTGTTGCTTCAAACAGCTGAAGGTAAGAGACATCTTGTGCTTCTAAACGTCATGATGCTTCCAACACTGATTTATTGAACCACACACATCTTGCTGCTGATTGTCGCCACTAAACGTATCCACTCTAAGGTTGGACCACTGTGCAAAGAGGGACACCTACATATATCGGTGAAAGTACGACTACTACTAAAAGTGAAAGTACGTACATCCAAATAAGGGCAAATAATACCAGAGGAAGCAAGATACACTTCAGGTTATACAGGAAGATAAGGGAGGTATCCAACACAACAACGGAACATACCCCTCTCCAACTGAACATCACCATTACAATGTTGGCAGACAAGACCTGCTTTATTGCAATGGAAGGAGAATGTAGCTGGGGTAAGTACAAGTACTTACACGACTCACAGGTATTTCCTGAGCCAATAATCTGGGGAATCTACAAAACAGATACGTTTCTAAAGGTAGCATACGCAGAGATGGTGGGATGGAGTGTGTCAGATAACAGTAACTGCAAAGCTAGGAGGAATGTGTTGGATTATTTAGAGTTTCTAAACGAGGATAATGCTTCCTTAGCTTACCGGACTTTGATACGAGGTAATTTTGAAACTTTTACTCGGTTTATTAATCTGATTTATTTTGAAAGTCATTACCTTTTATGGGATTCCACCTAATAAAACACCGCATTTACTAAATTCTTTAAATTCTCTAAACCGTCAAACTACCCATTATTACATTAACGTTCACAATGTTATCAGGTGGAACTCCGGTGGTCGGTGGAAAAGAAACAAGTAATCCCTATCCAGACTACGAAGAGTAAGATTGAAATGGAAGTAACAGCAGAAAGTAATATAGGGAGTAAAGTAAGGTTTAGCCTCTACACCGCTACAAGATCAGACGTTATAATACGATACACCCCGCTACTGCTGATAGATATAACGATCACTAGCTTTGCTAGCTGTTATGTAGAGGTAGCGGACTACAACAATAAGTACGGTGAATGTGTGTGGTACTTGAAAGCGGGGATACTTAAGCACGACCCAACACGGCTTGTAACGTGGACCTTTATCAAGAGTAATTCTTCTCTTACGGTAAAGTATCATTATGAAGGGGTAGGAGGGAGGACTTTACCCACTTTTCATTTCCCTGATAAATGTGAAGCTTGGACAGCTGATTACAGTGGAGTGGCGTTTCAGGAGAATGATAACGCTTCCCTTACTTATCGGATCAAATCTATAGAATTAGGTAATGATAGTTGTAATTAGTAGTAATTACTAATTACTAATTAGTAGTGATTAGTAGTAACTTATTTTAGCAGGAATTTTCAGGACAGGGAGGATAAAAAACAGGGACAAATATAAAAATATCACAATCTTATTTAATAGCCTCAATTTGAAGTTATTATCCATACCATTAACCTAGATATCTCCATGACATTTTATATTGACCAATGTAACTAGGTTCTCGTCCTTAAATATCACAACTAAGAAATATTCACAACTCTTACATAGCTGATACCTAGCAGCTAGGTCTTAGCTATGTAAGTGAACCTAGTTACAGGTCCTATCTCTCAGATGTTTAGAAATATTCGCACTCTAACTAATCCGAGCATCTTGGTAAATGTATCAGAATATCAGGTACTATAATATTCAAGCTTCAACAGCTGAGAACGAACTGAGAGATGGATAGAGACTGACAAATTAGATAAACTCCGTCATCAGGGTAACAGAGTTTTACATTCTACACATTCTACACATTCTACACTTATATGAAATCATATGAACAACAATAATCTAGGGATATTTAATTATATATTATATAAATATAACCTAATATAATCAGACTACCTTACTACCAAGTACCATGACATTAATTAAAAGTATTTGAACTAGCAATTCCTACCTAAATTATCTTTTGTGTGTGAATTCAATAACCCCCGAAGGTATGAAAAAGTATGAAGTAGACACGTGCAAGTTGCAGCTGGTTATATTACCAACACGTGCAGGTTGGGTGCAGAGCTGACATGTCTGGAGTAATCTTGATGGAAGAAGTACAAGAACCTCGTGGACTCTAATACTCTGTGGACTCTGATACTCGTGGACTCTAATACTCTGTGGACTCAACCCGGCCTAACGATCAAAGTCATTTCTGAAATTCGCTCCAGTTTCAATGAATACTTTTTAATTACTCGATTAAAAATGTTTAAGAAAACCAACATCCGTTTGTCTCTCTCTATTGTCAATAATTAGTACAGCACGACGTTCACTCAGTAACTACCCTAACTAACACCTGTAAACTAATTAACCTTACAATTATTAATCTACAGATAGACATTACGACATCACTTTTCTGCTCCAGTGCCCTAGCTGAACAGTCTCCGCAAATTATATCTCGTTATTATATTATATCTAGTTATATTGAAACAATAAAAACTAAGTAAGTTGCAGCTGGTTATACTACAATTCCCCAGTCAGTGGTTGAAGTGGTCAGTGGACCCGACCATTCATTTATTAATTTACAGCTGAACATTTCCCAACGTGGCTACCATAATTCGAATAAATACAATCGTTTGAGTTGCAACCGGTTGATGTTATTATAAAGTTAGTGCCGTCATCTATCGTCAGTTCAGGTCCCGAGCCTAGGATTTTCAGACATCAGTAAAGAGCGTTATTATTTATTTGTTGTACTTCGCTTTTGAATTTGCGGGCAATGGCATTGCTAACATCGCCAAGAGATGTGATGAACTTAGTTTCGCATTTTACTTGCCAATATTTTCTTTAAAATTCTCCAATATGTGTGTAAATATCTGGATTGGAATATTATTTATGAGCCGCATAGTTGTTTTCTTGGGTAAATTTTTATTGATCCCGTTTGATGCAACAAGGAAAAGGCTCTTATCAGGAAAGGAATTAGAGACATATTTTTTGACACGTGTTTCTGGGATTCTATAGGTCAATAGTTGCAGCTCACCTCCCCATCAGCTGAACTGATAATGTCAGACACGTGTCAATAAATACCTCCCCATCAGAATTCACATCAAGCTGCAAAAGATTGTAAACCTCGTCCAGATTGATTATTTATCACCCATCGTATTATACCCGTTGTATTCGCTATGTAGTTTTTTTTTTTTTTTTTTTTTTTTAAGAGAGGCTGGGCCTGGTTGGCCCACGAGAGGATAGCATATGAATGCTTTGCCTACCTCTGGGGTATGGCAGTCCTGTGGGAGGATGCCAGTGGAATCAAGATGTGTAATCAAGGATGATGGTAAGTGTTGTGGGGTGTGTCATAGATAAACGCTTAAGTGGTGGTTGAGTGTGGAAGAGAGAGGCGAAATAAGACGGCGTTAAAGTGGTCGCTATGTTACACCTGTCTGCTATGTAGTTGTGTATTAACTTATCTAAAATACCAATACTCTTCAGATCATGGCTACTAGACAACACTTTATTTACTGGATAATTTTAACGTTGGATTTTGTGGAATCTTTACCAGGTAGGTCACTTTTCTTTGACCATATCCCTTAATCCTGTTCAGACTATGGTCCACAGATGTATCATTTTAAATAATCACCACCAATACAATTAACGGTTAATATTAATTAATGATGTAATAGAGAAACAACACACTCAGGTGCAGCAAGTGACATTAGCAAGTGTACTACTGCAACTGACACTTGTATTTGGATTCCAGTTGATAAGGATCACCAGAACAACAACATAGAACACGATATACAAGCCACCCCCTTCCAACTGAGAGTCAGGAACACCCAACAAAAGCATGTTATGTTAAACCTGTGTAATGACTCCTGTACCCTGGTGATGATATCAGTACTAAGTTCCACTACTAGCAGAGTCAGTGTTCTCCACTCTGGAATGTGCACGTGGGACTACACATTCCAGCAGGTTCCTGACCAGGAGGAGGTAGTGTGGTCTTTACAGAAGATAGACAACTTCTCACTGGAGATAGTGTGTGAGGGGGGTCACGTCGCCAGATCACACTTTACTAATGGGGAGTGTGGGATGGAGGTGTACACTTCTGTATCTTTCAAACCACGTGATACAGCCTCTATTGCTTACTGTGGTACTTTAGGTACGTGGTTATTGATATAGAGATACAACATAATATTGTCACAGTAATGATTGATATTATATAAATTATATATAAGTAATAAGTAATATATAAGTAATATAGTACTGATTACTGTAGTAATATCGTCAATTATACCACGGGGGATAAGGCAGGGTAAAGGTAAACCCAGGTATTAGGTAAATAGCAAGCTATTAAATAAAGCCTTACTGAAAACATCTTAACCCAGATATCAAATCGTCTCCAGGTCCTGCAAAACCCAATAATTTCATATTACAAATATTGGAATTGAGTATTCAATTTGTAGAACGTTTGAATTATAATCAAAAATCTAACTTACCTTGAGCTGTTTGTTTCCTTTTGCAGTCTTCATTCCAATAATAACATGCTGTACAGTTTTACCGTAGCCTCCCATAGCACTCTCAGTCTCACACGGGGTCAGCTCGGTCACCTCACCTTCGTACACCTCTTTAGTTTCCTTTATTCGCAGCCCAATTGCTCGTCTGAAGTTCTCCATCAGCACAGCTGTTTTCTTCACCTGCGAACAATCTAATTGTGACAAACGTTGGGACACAGAATACTGTTTATTTCAAGGTTTTTAACATGAAGTACAATGTACAATGTACAATGTATTTTAACATTAAGTATAAATATGTAGATCATTACTCAGGACTGATATACTTATTAAACTGACAAAAAAGTACAGAGCTAATATCTGGATACACTTCTCTCTGTTATAATACAAAATCTCTAGAGCTGTGAGGCCCCTTACAAAAACTAACAATGATGCGAACTTGCACTCGGCTAAGTAAAATTACATTTTGTAATAATATAACAGCAGTATTAAAAAATTGTTAATGTATTTGAAGCAAACCTCAGAAGAGTAAACTTCAGAAGCAACCATAGGACAGAAAGGAACTTTTGAGCCAAGTTCTTGAGCAATAGCTAGAGCAAGGGCGGTTTTGCCAGTACCAGGGGGTCCGGCAAGTAAAATTGCTCTTCCAGCCATCTTCTTTGCTCTAATAAGCTCCACTACAATACCACATGCCTGCGGAGGGGTGGTTAATCAGAGTTATATAATGGGGGTACCACATGCCTGCGGAGTGGTGGTTAATTAGAGCTATATAATGGGGGTATCACCTTGATAGAGGGGGGGAGTGGTGGTTAATTAGAGCTATATAATGGTGGTATCACCTTGATAGGGGGGGGGGGGGAGTGGTGGTTAATTAGAGCTATATAATGGGGGTATCACCTTGATAGGGGGGGGGGGAGTGGTGGTTAATAAGAGCTATATAATGGTGGTATCACCTTGATAGGGGGGGGGAGTGGTGGTTAATTAGAGCTATATAATGGGGGTATCACCTTGATAGGGGGGGGGGGGGAGTGGTGGTTAATAAGAGCTATATAATGGGGGTATCACCTTGATAGGGGGGGGGAGTGGTGGTTAATAAGAGCTATATAATGGGGGTATCACCTTGATAGAGGGGGGGAGTGGTGGTTAATTAGAGCTATATAATGGGGGTATCACCTTGATAGAGGGGGGGAGTGGTGGTTAATTAGAGCTATATAATGGGGGTATCACCTTGATAGGGGGGAGGTTAATTAGAGCTATATAATGGGGGTATCACCTTGATAGGGGGGGGGAGTGGTGGTTAATAAGAGCTATATAATGGGGGTATCACCTTGATAGGGGGGGGAGTGGTGGTTAATAAGAGCTTTATAATGGGGGTATCACCTTGATAGAGGGGGGGAGTGGTGGATAATTAGAGCTATATAATGGGGGTATCACCTTGATAGAGGGGGGGAGTGGTGGTTAATTAGAGCTATATAATGGGGGTATCACCTTGATAGGGGGGAGGTTAATTAGAGCTATATAATGGGGGTATCACCTTGATAGGGGGGGGGGGGAGTGGTGGTTAATTAGAGCTATATAATGGAGGTATCACCTTGATAGGGGGGGGAGTGGTGGGTAATTAGAGCTATATAATGGGGGTATCACCTTGATAGGGGGGGGGGGAGTGGTGGTTAATTAGAGCTATATAATGGGGGTATCACCTTGATAGGGGGGGGGGGGAGTGGTGGTTAATTAGAGCTATATAATGGGGGTATCACCTTGATAGAGGGGGGAGTGGTGGTTAATTAGAGCTATATAATGGGGGTATCACCTTGATAGGGGGGGAGTGGTGGTTAATTAGAGCTATATAATGGGGGTATCACCTTGATAGAGGGGGGGAGTGGTGGTTAATTAGAGCTATATAATGGGGGTATCACCTTGATAGGGGGGGAGGTTAATTAGAGCTATATAATGGTGGTATCACCTTGATAGGGGGGAGGTAAATTAGAGCTATATAATGGGGGTATCACCTTGATAGGGGGGGGGAGTGGTGGTTAATAAGAGCTATATAATGGTGGTATCACCTTGATAGAGGGGGGGGGGGTGGTGGTTAATTAGAGCTATATAATGGGGGTATCACCTGGATAGGGGGGGAGTGGTGGTTAATTAGAGCTATATAATGGGGGTATCACCTTGATAGGGGGGGGGGAAGTGGTGGTTAATAAGAGCTATATAATGGGGGTATCACCTTGATAGGGGGGGGGAGTGGTGGTTAATTAGAGCTATATAATGGGGGTATCACCTTGATAGGGGGGGAGTGGTGGTTAATTAGAGCTATTATATAATGGGGGTATCACCTTGATAGGGGGGGGGGGAGTGGTGGTTAATTAGAGCTATATAATGGTGATATCACCTTGATAGGGGGGAGGTTAATTAGAGCTATATAATGGGGGTATCACCTTGATAGGGGGAAAGTTAATTAGAGCTATATAATGGGGGTGTCACCTTGATAGGGGGGGAGTGGTGGTTAATTAGAGCTATATAATGGGGGTATCACCTTGATAGGGGGGGAGTGGTGGTTAATTAGAGCTATATAATGGGGTATCACCTTGATAGGGGGGGAGTGGTGGTTAATTAGAGCTATATAATGGTGGTATCACTTGATAGGGGGGGTGGTGGTTAATTAGAGCTATATAATGGGGGTATCACCTTGATAGGGGGGGGGGAGTGGTGGTTAATTAGAGCTATATAATGGTGGTATCACCTTGATAGGGGGGAGGTTAATTAGAGCTATATAATGGGGGTATCACCTTGATAGGGGGGGGGGAGTGGTGGTTAATTAGAGCTATATAATGGGGGTATCACCTTGATAGGGGGGGGGGGAGTGGTGGTTAATTAGAGCTATATAATGGGGGTATCACCTTGATAGGGGGGAGGTTAATTAGAGCTATATAATGGGGGTATCACCTTGATAGGGGGGGAGTGGTGGTTAATTAGAGCTATATAATGGTGGTATCACCTTGATAGAGGGGGGGGGTGGTGGTTAATTAGAGCTATATAATGGGGGTATCACCTTGATAGAGGGGGGGAGTGGTGGTTAATTAGAGCTATATAATGGGGGTATCACCTTGATAGGGGGGGTGGTGGTTAATTAGAGCTATATAATGGTGGTATCACCTTGATAGGGGGGGGGAGTGGTGGTTAATTAGAGCTATATAATGGGGGTATCACCTTGATAGGGGGGTGGTGGTTAATTAGAGCTATATAATGGGGGTATCACCTTGATAGGGGGGAGTGGTGGTTAATTAGAGCTATATAATGGGGGTATCACCTTGATAGGGGGGGAGTGGTGGTTAATTAGAGCTATATAATGGGGATATCACCTTGATAGGGGGGGGAGTGGTGGTTAATTAGAGCTATATAATGGGGGTATCACCTTGATAGAGGGGGGGAGTGGTGGTTAATTAGAGCTATATAATGGGGGTATCACCTTGATAGGGGGGGGAGTGGTGGTTAATTAGAGCTATATAATGGGGGTATCACCTTGATAGGGGGGGAGTGGTGATTAATTAGAGCTATATAATGGGGGTATCACCTTGATAGAGGGGGGGAGTGGTGGTTAATTAGAGCTATATAATGGGGGTATCACCTTGATAGGGGGGGGGAGTGGTGGTTAATTAGAGCTATATAATGGGGGTATCACCTTGATAGAGGGGGTGAGTGGTGGTTAATAAGAGCTATATAATGGTGGTATCACCTTGATAGAGGGGGGAGTGGTGGTTAATTAGAGCTATATAATGGTGGTATCACCTTGATAGGGGGGGGGGCCGGGGAGTGGTGGTTAATTAGAGCTATATAATGGGTGTATCACTTTGATACTCCTTTTATATTAACAAATGGAGTAACATGGAATAGTACCATGTTGCATAATGTCATCTCTAAATAAAAATAGAATTGTACCTGGTCCCTAAATTTTGAGTCTTGTAATTATACTAGAACTGGTGTAAAAACTAAAAGTAAACTTTGAAAGAATGAAGACAAACGAACCTCTCTTGCAAGCTCTTGACCAACAAGACCTGCAGCAACCTGCAAAGCAACACCCTTATCGTCTACTCCAAGTCCTTTCACGTGAGAATGAGCGGCAATTCTCTGTGTCTTAGTTGTTGATTTTACTTCTTCGATCTTCATTTTGAAGTCTTTGCTAAATGGAGTTAGTATTAGTATTCTATACTAACTTTAATGCACAAGGTTTATTATATGGGAGTAGCACCATCAAGTATCGGTAATATATTATATTAGTTCCTCAGCTGGGAAACCTCGCCAACGAAGAGCTGATACAGGTGCAAAAAACTTTTTTTTTCTGAAGCGAGTAACTATGATATTGATTTTGACTACAGTAATGATTCTGTAAACGACATTGAGTTCAGTACCAGCAGAATCCGAAAAATTCTAAAAGACGTCAATGTTAATAAAGCTGCTGGTCCAGATGGTATCCATGGCAAAAAGAACTGTAGAGATAGTATTGCATATCCACTCTCGAGCCTTTTTAAAATTTCATATAACATAGGTCAGATACCATCTGAGTGGAAATTGGCTAACGTAGTACCTGTGCATAAGAAAGGCCCCAAAACTCTAGTTGAAAATTATCGGCCAATCTCTCTCACCAGCCTTGTAATGAAAATTTTTGAGAAAATTGTGAGAGATGAACTGTTGGCAAAATGCCAGCATAAAATACATGACAACCAACATGGTTTTCTTCCTCAGAGGTCTTGTACTACACAAATGGTCGGGTATATAGACTGTCTCTCACTGTCTATCAACGATAATGTCAGAACTGATGTGGTATACTTTGACTTTGCCAAGGCCTTTGACTCAGTTAACCATGATGTCATCCTAAAGAAATTAAAATCGGAATTTGAAATTAATGGTACACTGTTGAAGTTCATTATGAACTATCTCAAAGACTGTAAACAGTGTGCTATAATTGGGGGATCCCACTCAGAACTTAAGAATGTTGAATCAGGGGTTCCCAAAGGCTCCATTTTAGGACCTCTGTTCTTTGTACTCTTTATTAACGACATGTCAGAATGCGTAAGTGAAGGTACAAAGATAGCCCTATACGCTGATGACACCAAAATATGGCGTAAAATCACGGGCTGGAGAGACCATGAGATCCTACAAGCAGACATAGACGCCCTGCATTGCTGGGCAGTAAGAAACAAAATGAAGTTTCACCCAAATAAATGCAAGGTGCTCTCTATGTCTAGCAAAATGAGCGAAAAGGGAATTTTGAGTTTTTTCCCCTTCCAGCTATTTGTCTACACCCCAGCTCAAGATTTATGCGAGATTGCGAGCCAGACTCATCGCACAAAATTTGTAAATAAATGAGGAAACAGAAAAAGTTTAACTTAAAAGTTGAGGTAATTAGGAACTTAACATGTATTTTATACTCTTAACGTGTATTTTATCACTTGTTTATAGCGTGAAAACTTCGACGTAACGCGCGCGAGATTTTTGCCAGATTTTTGCGAGTTTCGTTTAAATCTCATAGCTAGGCTCACGATATCGTGAGATTCTCCGCGAGATTTCGGCACCCTCTTTCAGCACTACATATTCGGTCGCGCGCTTGCATTTTCATCGCTTTTCAGCGTGTTTATTCACTGTACTGTCTAAGTCTTAAAGGATACCATGGTTACCATTAAAGGAGGTACTATTCCTGGCTACAGTCTACTCAATCTTTCTCAGAATATACTTGATACTGCCATAGGCATAGTGAATTAAAAGTTTGAAAAAGGGTCCCTTCAACTGGAGAACTGACTTATTAATCCTAGCAGGTAATTAACTCTGGATCCTCATCACATTGATTCCATTCTAAATTCTAGCCATAAACAAAACAAACATTACCAGATAACTCCGTTTACAATAATTTGACATGTTCCAGTGTGAACGAGGCCTTCCCCGGACAAATCCTTAAATGCCAGTCTTCTCTTGATCTTAGTTCTCTAGATGAAGTACGAACAGTATAATCTATCGGATAACGTATATAACAAGGTGCTCTGATGATAATTTTAGTAAAATAATTAATAATTGCCAAAAGAATGACCGCTGACGAGACTCGAACCCGAGTCAACTGCTTGGCGAGCGCGCCCTAAACCATCGGGCCACGTGAGGCTCACCATAATTACAATATGTAACATAATATAATTCATAAAAATACGCACGTAAATTTTTCGTTATTTATGGATCCAATAACAGTGACATACTTTTCGCTTACAAAGGGACTCGCGAAATCTTTTTAAATAGAAAATAATTAGTGGGGCAAGAAATCTTGCAGGCTGGAGGGGGGGGGGGGGGGGGGGGGGGGGTGGGGGGGGAGTACATTTCGCCACTGCACGTGACACGTGAAAATCGCACTTCTAGTGTCAAAATCCAGTCTCATCGCACTTTTTTTAGAATCTTGATAGGGGGTCTACACCCTAGATGGAATGGCACTAGATTTCGTCCAAAGCGAGAAAGACCTCGGGGTCTTTGTTAGAGCAGACCTTAAGTGGGAGGAGAACATAGTCGCCCTCTGTACGAAAGCTAGTTCACCTCTAGGTCTAATGAAAAGAACTCTACGGTTTATTAAGGACCGTAAACAAAAAAGGGCATTCTATCTAGCGCTGGTTAGAAGCCTTTTCGGAAATTGCAGTGTTGTCTGGAGACCAACAAGTGTAGTTCTTAATAACAAAGTTGAAAACATTCAGCGCAGAGCAGTTAAGTGGATCCTTGGCGAACAGGATCATCACTATAATGACATAGAATATTTGGCTCGGTTAAGAGAGCTAGACATGTTGCCAATTGAGCTGAAGTTTGAATACACAGACCTACTATTATTCCACCAGATATACCATGGCCAATCTGTACTGAAGCTCCCATCCTATTTAACCCCGATAACAACCAGTGAACAGGGTAGATTGCGTTCAAATATAAGGCAACCCTCAAGATATAATGAAGCTGATACATCTCAAATGCCTGATATCAACCAGAGGCGACAAAACAGACACGACAACTTCTCCCTGAAATGTACTGTGGAAGCAAAGGCACACCCCTTTAAGAGAAGCTTCTACTTCAGAACACACAGTGTCAGGAATGATCTACCGACTGACCTTAAAGAGATAAGTGATGCCGGAACTTTCAAGGCGAACCTGGCAAAAAACTTCTGGGACAAAATGACAGACCCTGACTAAGTCCAGGAATGCAATTGATATTTATAGGTGGGCCCCCGCCACTGATAGATCGGTCACGATGCTGAATATAACAAGTATGATAGAACGATATCTATTAAATCACATTTACTTTCTGTCGCCAGGATGTGGCCCTTATGCGTGGTCCTCAGTGAATAAACGAAATTAGATTGCACGAAATTAAATCAGAATGCAGCCATGCATTTCAGCGTTGTGTTACGAATGCTGCGCATTATTGTTGCGCCACATAGTGGTGGCATTGTCTATCATTTAATTATTTATTTTGAAAATTCTAAATTTGTATGTTTTCAGTTAAACAAAAAATTTCAGTTAAACAAAAATTTCAATTTTAAGCCATTTATTACAGATTAAACAAGTTTACAATAAATCAATTTGATATTTAACGGAATCCTAATTCAATGTGCAGTATGGTTGTCACTCTTAAAATAAATCAGATATAGGTTGACGGGGCAGAGGAGTGTCTGTGCTGTTCGCTATTGCTCACACCATTTGTGGAGGTGGTGTTAGTGAGTCTGGGGGTAGAAATATTACCTGTAATACGTATATCCCCAGAACTTGTACCACTTACCCATGTGGACTCTTCAATTCGTTTCAATTGAAATCATCAACTCAATTGAAATCATCAACTCAATATCATGGACGATTTAATGGAAACATTTTTTGGGAAAATATTGTCGTAATGTGATTAAAAATACTGCACTCAAATCTCATGTCAAGTTTCTCGAACGGAAAGTGACCATCCTAGAGGACATTGTTCAAACTTCTCAGACTATAGCAGAGATTTCAAGAAAACAACAATTTTATTAAGTATAAATTAAAGCAGACAAGAATATATTTCATATACAGGGTGGGCCAAAAGTCAGTACCCATACGTTGGCCTTAATAGCTCCGCTGTGTTTTATATTTGAGAGCTGTTGCTTTGCAGATGGCATACTGTACTTACTGGTTCGAGGATTCCGTCGTCAAAATTTGAAAATTCGAATATTTTAGACCACGCCGTCGCCCATTCAATATTAAAACACCTTTATTGTTTTCTCTGAACATGCTGAACGCCTAATTTTTTCAGAGACGGTAGATAATCAAATGTTGCATATGATCTGAAAACATGAGGCAAAACGGATTAGAAATGACGAAGTTATCAAGCATTTTCTGTATCTCGTTAACAAAATTGACTGGGTGATTATGTGACACCGTGACACGACACCTTAATTGGGCACCCTTAATAATTCCCATATAATGTTTAACGGGGTAGTTAACGGGGTCACCTTATCACGTGATTAGGTAAACCAATCACCTGATCACACGTAATGAATAAACTCGTTATGCTTCATATCTCGGTCATCTGAGAAGCTACAGTTCTAATTCTTTCAGGACAAACGTAATTGGAATGGCCAAACACAATTCAATAATATTTAGCTTGATCTGACTATCCAAACTATCAAATAAATGTGAAAATGAACCTCTATTTGAAAAAAATGAACGCGAATATTTTTCGAGTTGACAAATTCCTCGAACCAGTGGTAGTACTAAGTCATACCAGAAAGAAGTATTTAAATTGGGCACTCAGTGACTGAGCTATAAAGGCCAACGCATGGGTACTGACTTTTGGCCCACCCTGTATATATAACTAGCACGAACTTTAGATCAGATATCTAGGGGACTTGGAGTAGCAAAAGATTGTCCCTTTGTTAAAAGAAGAAATAAAAAACTATGTCTAGAGTTAGCTTCCTTCAACATTAAAAGTATCAAAAATATGCTTTTTGAATTTATTTGAAATTTTTAATAAAAATGTAGTTAATATATAATTTATTAATTTTGGTGGTAAGATATTTATATTTTTCCATATAGTGATTTGATATTTTGTAGACATGTATGATGATGTTATGTCATAATTTTTACTTACTTACTTACTTATCAATATAATCATAATCAATTATATCAATATCAGATAAAA